TACGGATCAAACAAATTAAACATCGATGGGCTCAAAAATGTTACAGACAAAAAACCATTAGTTCGTAAAGTTAACCTTTTTGATAATTTTTTGGAATATTTCCGTCAAATAATGTCAGATTTTGTAATTTTATACCATTTTTGACTCGTAAGGATCAGTTCTATCGATTGGCATCAAAAAAAGGAAATCCAAATTTTTAACCCAAATCGACAAAAGGGCAAGGGGTTACATCTCGTTTTTTTCAAAATCGAGGTCGCTGCGAAAATCAAAACTTTAGTGCCTGCGCAGATCGAGTTTGTTTCCGATTATCTATAACTTACTCCGTTTCCAAGCAATCGATAAAAATCGATATCGATATCGTGTTTTTTGGGCAATTTTGGTAAATAATAAGAGCTAGAGTCACCAAACTTGACATATAGCTTCTAAAATAGAATATATAAATGCATTTGATATTGGAAGAAGAGGGTTCAGGGTATCCCCTAGTCGGGAGCTCCCGACTGGAACCTCTTACTTGTTTATTAATCATATTATTTATTTTATTATTACTATTACTATTATTATTTTTCATATTATTTATATTATTGCTACAATTATTACTATTAAATTTCTATAGTTCGCGCCGAACTGGTTTTATTTTCGCTGTGGAAGCAATTTATACGCTTAAAATTCAAATGTAAAAAAAGTGACTTCTTGCTCATTTTTATTAAATAAATCGAAAAATAAGCGTAAATGAAAGTTTGCATAACACTCCCAATATTCATTTAATTTAAATGCCGTTTTTTTTTTTAATTTTGCCCTCGTTTCTTCGACCAGTTCACTTGACTTCTCACCAAAAGTCGGACTTGGCTTGGAATTGGGCTTGGATGCGATATCCGTCTCACACCCGTGTAAATCTTTTCACACATCCCTTGAAAGTCGTGCGTGTTGAATTTATTTGGGCGCATAAAACTATGCAACACTTTGAGCATTCGTCCGTTGTCCGCTGTCCGTTGAGCGAAATCATTTGGTTCAGTTTTGACTCAATTTCTGAACAAATTTAGAAAAGCGCTCAATTACATTTCACTTTCCAAGGGAAGGCCGCAGCATCGCAATATCGCAACGTCGCGGCATGTGAGTGTGTGTCAGCCCTCCGCCCTTGCGACCGCCCCTTTTAGCACATGTGTTTTATACAATGTGTGCTGAGTGTTCTATGGTGTGCGTGTGTATGCGTGTGTGTGTGTGTGTGTGTGTGTGTGTGTGGCACATTTTGTTTATGAAGAGACGTTTTCCAGCAAATGCTCAACTGGGGGAACCGACAGCAGCCACTCGTTGAATTCGTTTCATTCTGGCCCTCATTCAATTGAAGAGATTTATTTGTCGAGCGCTGAGCATAATTCAGTTGCGATCTGACAACAGGCACAGTTACAGTTACGTATCGAACCGAACCGAACCCAACCGAATAGAACCGAGTACCGTACCGTTAACAGAATGTGCAAGAATTATTAATACTCAGTATATAATTCGTAATACCTATTTAATAGAATTGTTCGTGCTGCCGATCGATCGGCTTGCAGTGTGTTTTTCTCTATTTCGGTGTCTCAAGTGTGCCTGCAGTTAGTTATTATTATTTCTAAAGTGCTATGGAAATATTTCTGGAATTTTAAGTGGAACGCTAAAAGCGCTGAATAAATAACGAAAAATATCATCAATTGGTATAAAAAGCAAAAGGAAAATAATTTTGTGTTGCACAAGAATATTTATATTAGATCAAGGCGTATATATATATATATATATATATATATTGGATACAATAATTGGCAGAGGAATCTCAACATAACAAATTCTAAGGTAAGTTTCTCAATATACATATATACTAAACTATTATATACTATATTCAAAATAGTTTTTATTTTTTATTTTATTTTTTTTATTTTTTGTTTTTCTTGTGTTGTTTTCGCTTTTCACTTGCGTAATTGCGCAAATTATTTGTTTAGACCACTTTTTGATTGACCAACGCGCAGCAATTTGACTTTTTAACCCGTTTGGGGTTTTTGTTGTTGTTGCTGTTGTTCGTTTGTTTGTTTTGCTGTGGGGTAAACTATTGTGTCCAGTCCAATTTGTGTTGTTTATTTCAGTGCGAGTCCGCAGTCAATCGTTCAATTATCAAAACCGTTTTACTGTTTTTTTTTTTTTTTTGTTTAATGCCCCCAACCCCATTGGGGCACTGCTGCAATGCCCCCATTTACGGCACATGCCACAAATTTTATGCTTTATGACCAAAATGAAAGCACTTTTTCGTGTACAGTAGTCGCACGCTAATTAGAATGAATTGGCCTTAAATAATGCCTAATTAAATACACTTTGAATCTCAATCAATTTGAAATTAATATTGAAATTACTTTTCATAGACAATATTCGTTAAGTAGAGAAGACAACAAAAGCAAAAAAAAAACGAACGATGAAGGTTTTAGAATCTAAAATTTTTCGTATTCTCGAAATATACAGAAAAATTCTTCGCATTCTCTATTAAAAATAATACATATTCATTCCAATTTAAATTTATGATTTTAATATAACATTTTTTGATTTCATGTTTATAAAAACAAAATTTTATTTTTAGTTACTTTTATAGACAACATTCCCCAAAGCATTGAAAAGTATTTAAAAAAATATGAATATATAAACAAGAACTTTAGAGTTGTAATTACCGAGTGACCACTGTAAAACAAACACATTTTATACAATAACTATACGTCTAGTTTTGAGAATTTTTCCCATGAAATTTTTGACTACACTTGATTCTCCAACAGCGCGTGTGTTTATCAACACGTACATATACGTATATCGGCCGAGACGTCGGCATTATACTACAGATATGAACATGCAATAATTTCCCGCCGCATAAACAAACATTCTAAATGATGTGTCTGTCTTTCTCACTGTAGTGGAAGTGTATGGGTATATGTATACTATATATGTATGTGGTCTGTTGGGGCAGCTTCTGTGCTTCTGTTTTAGCTGCTGTTTTGTTGACTTTGGCAGTCGCTTGATTGTTTCGTTTCTGTGTAGATCGTTACAGATGGGTTTGCCCAGCTATTTGTAGAGCTGGATTGCATTGTTGTTAAGGCACTTATAGGGTATACACACACCTGAGCTAGTTAATAACCTTCGGTTTTGGCACGTATTCGCATGCAACAAGTCATTGCGAACTGCACGGCTCATTCGCATTGTTTTTGATATAAACGCAAAAGTATTTTCATTCTGGCTGTGAAATATTTGAAAATGATTTGAACTTGAAAAATCGCTGGCCAATTCCAACAAGCGGCATATTCAATTGTTAGCCGAATGAGCATTTTTTGCTGTGTACTTTTCTGTTTATTTGCCAAATATTGCAAATCATGTGGTTATTTTTGGCCTGGGCAGGAAATATATTACCTACAAGTTGAGTATGGTACGAAGGTCAAAAGTTTTTGTATTTTGCCGGAACATGAACGGGGAAAACTCGTGAAAGGCAACCCTTTTTTCCCCACGATACTTCCAGACTCGTGCGATGAGCATATTCCAATGGATTGGTGCTGATGCCGCATGCAACACATGCAACACATATGTGGCACGAACGGCAAACAGAAATCGAGGCACAGGCTAAAGTGTAGGTAAAGGCCCAGTCCCGCCTCTGGCTGTGGCTGATGATGTTGATGTTGATGTTCAAGATGATGATGATGATGATGTGCCCACATGTCAGACAGGGCGCGGCGGCGATGCGAGTCCCTCCGAGTTCGAATGACAACAATAGCTCACCAAATGCGTTTCGAAACAATATTTTCCCTTGTCTCGAACGGGTACTTCAAACCCATAGCCTCGATCTGTTTTAAAAGGGTGGCGAACAGTTGCCGGCTAGCGTGGCGGGCACTAGCAAACAACTTTAAACAATATTTTATACCCTGTAAACATGATTTAAATGTGTTTTTGGGTCTGCATCTAATAGCGACTCTGTTAGTAGTGAAAATGTTATATTTATTCGTCAAAATATTTTTAATATTTCAAACCATTTAAACTATAATAAAAATGTATAAATTATTTATTTCTTTATATATTTCCTTGAGTTGTTAAAAATTATTCAATTTTTCAATTTCAAAATTTATACTAAAAACATGAAAAAACGTTTTTTAAATGTAGTCGAGAACGTTTTCACCGAAATTCTCCAATCGAAGATATCTTTTATTTTTATTGAAAATGTTCTATGTTTATTTCAAACGTGCAAACTCCTTTATTCATGAAATTCATTTATTCTAAATAAGAGCTAGAGCAACTTAATGATTTTAAATCAACATAATATTGCATGTTGGGGCTTGAATATGGGGCTTGAATATATTTGTTGTGATAGATGATACCCATTAGATCGGACTTGTGCTAGACATGAGACTTGCAAACGCAACCCATATTTAGTAGTGCACTGCTGAGTATCTCTTGGTCGAACACATGCCATTCTTAGTGTCTGTTTTTAATTTCTTTTAATTTTTGTTGCCTCTGTGGCACAGATGTGGGCTGGAAAGATCACAGAAGAGCACATTGAGAGCGACTGTGTCTGTTTTAATTAAGCGAGAGCGATAGCGGGAGTGAGCATGAGAAACAGAGAAAGCGAGAGAGATCGAGAGAGAGAGAGAGGGAGAGAGTGCATCGACACGCATATGTGAAAAATTAAGGCTGTCTGCCGCTGTTAAGCAAAAAGGCGCAAAATATGCGGGAAGCGAAGGCAACGATCAACAAACAGCGCGAACAGCCAGCGACATTTGTATGCCCAACCGGCAAAAAAAAAGAAGAAAAATACCCAACAGAACTGAATGTGCTCGACAACAGCAACAAACATTGAATTTAACAGCAACAAAAAAACTACAAAAATAAAAATAATAAAATAACTGTGGAAGCAGGGCCACTAAATTGAGTCGTTTGAGGCGCAGTCGCAGTTGCCCTGAGTAGGACGCGCCGCGCAGTAGTTGGATTTTCTGTATTTATTTGGTTTTTGAGCGTAGGAGCAGCAGCGGCAGCAGCAGCAACAGCAGCCTCTGTCTGGCCTCTGGCAGCGACCACGATATACTACAAAGTCGTCTCTGCTGAATTTAGAACAGTTTTCAAGCAGAGCTGTGGAAATTCACAACGTGCGCTAAAGATCGGAGAATCACGGAATATAACGCACCCTCAACGTCATATAGACGATCGCTACTGTGCTATGTTATTGTGTAGCTGTGTATCTCTATCTGTGTATCTGTATCTGTGTTTTGTGCAAAAAATAGAATATTATCGAAAAGTAGCTGCCATCTAAATGAACTACATGTAGCCATAGCTGTACCGAGTACTTGTAGGTAATCAACGTCCCTCAGTTCCTGCTCTATATATGTATGTATATATATATATATATATATATATGTATATATATTATTTATTTTATATAGTTTTTTCTCTTTTTTTTTTTTCGTAGAAGGGCAAACGTGTAAAAATTGTTTTGCATTTGCTGCGGGCTTCAAAAAGCCGTTACGAACTGTCCCATTTTAATGTTCGCCATAAAAGTGGCCCCAAAATTTTATTGATTTTACATGCGCATGTTTTTGATATATAGTGCGCGTTAGTCGTAAAGCTATTTTGAAAACAAAAAAAAATTGGTGTTGTTTTTATTATTTTTTGATATTTTGTATATGTTAACTACGCCGATCTGACCATGTGAGCTCATTTCTCGCTTTATAGAGCCTTTAATTTGTGTGGCACGCGCTTGAGAATGAAAATCAGCGGAAATGTGCGCGACATTTTAATTAAGCCTTGCCAAAATGTAAATGGCTTTTAATCAGAACTTGAGCATATAAAAATCTCAGTGGTTTAGTCTGAGCTTAATTGGCAAGCAGAAAATTGATTAAGTGCATTAAAAAATTTCGCAAATTACGTACATTTTTGAGGCGCAAAATGGTGGAAATGTTTATAAACAAAAACAAAACAAAAACACCGATCAATTTTAACGGCTTCGTGCGAAAAGCATTTTGTTTATTGGCAAAAGAAAAAAACACAAAATTGGGAAAAACAAAAAGTTGTATTGAACTCAATATATTGGCATTTTCCGGTAGACAAAGCGGATGTGCGAGTTACAATTTGTTGTTTGTTTTGTATGGATCTTTAGTCTGCTTCAGGGGTCTTTCCCCCATGCTCCCAAGTCTTTTGACTGTACCCCTCATGCCAGAAATACACACTCAAATATATGGAATATTTAACTCAAATACAGCACTTGGTTGCGGTTTCTTAGGGCGCCCCCTTTAATAGCTTTCATGTCGCGTTCGCTGGATAATTTGATTTCTTATTTTGAGTTAAATTTGTAAAAATAAGGAAACTTAGTACACAAAACGGAAACGCGCATAAATCTAATCGTCTGCATTTTTCCAGGTGTTGCAGTCATCCCCAAGCAGCTGCCGTATGATCTATGAAATGCACCACGCCCACGATCGTGCCACGATGTGGCTGTGACATGTTGCTGCGGCAAACATGGCTGCCATAAATCCATCAGCGCACTGAATAAATCACAGGCCACAAGCGACAATAATTAAGAATCCATGAGTGCATACAACATTTTGGAAGTGTATTTCCGTTACTTGGCAAGGTGATCATCAACAATCAGAAGCGCAGCCACAGCATCCGATTCCGATACTGATCGCAAGGCGCACTTCAAAGTCGCCGCGTTAAACACACATGTTGCCAGAGATCAAGTTGGAGCTAGCGGCAACTGTTGTTATTTCCATCATAAATTAGAAAAACTAGAAGAGATCACTGATCAGCGCGAGGGTGGAGAGAGAGAGAGAGAGAGAGTGAGATTCAGAGAGCAGTCGCTCAGCTAAAGTGGATTTCCGGTGAATAGAAAATAACAACAACAACAACACATGCGACACAACGTTGTTGGATTGAACTCGACGCTACCCCATTTGCTGGAAGGAGCTGCAGCTCGGAGTTAGGGCGAGTGCCACTTCGTGTGCGCTGCCTCAGTTACAGTTACAAAAGTATATATCTATATATATTTAGACATATAGCAAGAGGGAATGTCTGCCAGTTGTCGGAGAAGCGTTGCCAGCGTAAGACGCTGTCACAATATGTGCAGAAGCCTGCTGATCCTGCTGTTGTTATGCGTTTGGGGCGCAACAGCGAGGCGAGCGCCAGCAGCCAGTTCACAGGAGCTAACCAAGGACTATGATAGTGCACCCAACAACAACAACTACATCAATGTGACACACACACAAAACAGTATCAATGCAGAGGAGGACGAGGATGCGGATGAAGATGACAAGGTTGGTTTGGCAGGCGCCGGCTCTGGCAGCAGCACGAGCGGTGCCGGTGGCAGCATCGATGCCAAGCAACAGTTTGCGCCACGTTTTCGGCATCCCAAACGAATGAGCACACTGTATACGCGACCCTCGGGGTCAACACTGTCGCTGAGCTGTCATGCGGCGGGCAATCCGGAGCCCAATATCACCTGGTATCGCAATGGCAGCAGCGATTGGACGCGCACCTATGGGAGCTATCGCAAGACCAAGTGGCAAATCACCATGGAGGATCTGGTGCCGGAGGATTCGGACCAGTACACCTGCAAGGTGTGCAACCCGCTGGGCTGTCTCAGTCATGTGATGAACGTGATGGTCAGCGATCGGGTGAATCATAAGCCCATTCTACTCAAGGGTCCCGCCAATCTGACGCTTCTAATCAATGACAGCGGCCAAATGGAATGCAAATATCTATCGGATTTGACCAGCAAGAAGGCCTGGATCTTTATGCCTTGCAAGAGCGTAAATGAGTGCTCCAAGAATCGCACAGTTCTAGTCGAGGATGTGGATCGCTTGGAGTTTACGAATGTGACACAGGAGCAGGAGGGCTGGTACACGTGCATCGAGAGCAACAGCCTGGGCCAATCCACAAGTCGCGCCTATTTGCGTGTGGTGCGCAGCCTGCAGCTGCTCGAGGCGAATCTGGGCAGTGTGGTGCGCGATAATGGCATGATGGCCATATTCATCACGGTCACCTTTCTGCTGATCATGCTGTGCATCATCTTTGTGGCGTATGCCGTGCGCAAGATGAAGCACGAGAAGCTGCTCAAGCAGCGCATCGAGACGGTGCATCAGTGGACCAAAAAGGTTATCATCTACAAGCCGGCTAGCGGTGGCGATTCGAGCGGTTCAATGGACACGATGATAATGCCGGTAGTGCGAATTGAGAAGCAACGCACCACTGTGCTCCAGAGTGGCAACGAGCCGGTGCCCTTCAACGAATACGAATTTCCACTGGACTCCAACTGGGAGCTGCCGCGCAGTCAACTGGTCTTGGGCGCCACTCTTGGCGAGGGCGCCTTTGGACGTGTCGTCATGGCGGAGGTGAACAATGCCATTGTCGCTGTCAAGATGGTCAAGGAAGGTCACACGGACGATGATATTGCCAGTTTGGTGCGTGAAATGGAAGTCATGAAGATCATTGGCAGGCATATCAATATTATCAATCTGCTGGGCTGTTGCAGCCAGAGCGGACCGCTCTATGTCATCGTGGAGTATGCACCCCATGGCAATCTGAAGGACTTCCTCTACAAGAATCGGCCTCTGAGCAAGGAGCAGCTGGACAGTAGCTCCCAGTCAGCGCCGCCAGCACCACAGCATGTGATCACCGAAAAGGATCTGATCAAGTTTGCCCATCAAATAGCACGCGGCATGGATTATCTGGCCTCGCGGCGCTGCATTCACCGGGATCTGGCGGCACGCAATGTTCTCGTTAGTGATGATTACGTGCTCAAGATTGCCGACTTTGGGCTGGCCCGAGATATTCAAAGTACGGATTATTATCGCAAAAACACCAATGGGCGCTTGCCCATCAAGTGGATGGCGCCCGAGTCACTGCAGGAGAAGTTCTATGACTCACAGAGTGATGTGTGGTCCTATGGCATACTACTCTGGGAGATTATGACATTTGGAGCGCAACCATATCCGGCTATTATGTCCGCCGAGGAGCTCTACAGCTATCTGATGTCCGGACAGCGCATGGAGAAACCGGCGAAGTGCTCAATGAATATTTACATTCTGATGCGCCAGTGCTGGCACTTTGATGCCAGCGCACGGCCGCCCTTCACGGAGATCGTGGAGTACATGGACAAGCTACTGCAGGCCAAAGAGGATTACCTAGATGTGGATGTGGCCAATCTAGAGACGCCGCCCTCGACCAGTGATGAGGAGGAGGACGATGCATCCGATGTGGAGCAATCGCGCTACCACTACTAGCTGATCGATAACGATTACGATAACGATCACTGATCATCGATCGAGTTCATTGAGAAACTGTACATACTTCGCCTTCGGGCCAACTAACGATAAGTCTGTAAATCGCTTGAATTTTATTGCACCAAAGGCGTAAACCAAAAATTTTTACAATATTTTAGATTACAATATATTACATTATATTTATATATACATATATCTCACGTTGAAGCGTGTTTGATTTCTATTTATAATGATGTAAATTAATTGTGTGTAAATCTTCATCGTCTTTTTGTCGAGCATGCACTTAACTTTAATCTCTTTTTCATTTGTGGAAATCAGTTTATAAAAATAATGTCAATTCGGGATTTTAAAAATTTAGAAGCTGTCGGAAAGAATTTCAAATCGGCTTGAACAAACATTAAGAGATACAGGCTGTAGAAGAATGCCAAAAAAAAAAAATGTGGTCGATCGAAAACCATAATTTCCATAAATTAAGGTCTTTAATTTTAATGAAACAAAATTTCTGATAAATGATCGAGTTTTACCATTAAAAGTATGGCTAAGAAGCAGCGTTCTAATTTGCGAGCGATCACTGTAAGAGCATAAAACTAAAAATTCATTTTGATTGCATTTAATTTACCATACATATTATTTATCCATGACCTTTTCCCTAATGAAAATTATGCTCAAAGAAGGTGAACTTTAATATATATCAATCACAATTTACAGTGTTATACGTATTACGTATTACAAAATAAGAAATATGAATAGATATGTATGTAAACAAGAGAGTATCTTGAAATTGAATAGAATTCTGGCTGCAGCTTATGTAACTATATGTAATCATAAGTTAGTTTATAGATCGGTTGTATTCGTATTTTTATTTGTACTGATTCTGCGTAGTATTCACATTGTTCATTGTTCAATGTTAAAGCATATGTTTCTTATAATATAAGATCTATAGCATGCATGCTAGTGCCTTATACAAAAATAAATGTTGTACTCATAGTCTAAACCGAACAGCATACAATGGATACCTGACCACAAGACCAAGACCAAGACCGAGACCAAAACCGACAAGATCATGACGTCTCAATTTGAAAATCTGTGAAAATATAATAACAACAACAGCCGTCGATTTGGGCCGCACGAGGCACGCGCGTCACTAAACGAAAAATGATGAATGGAACGGCTCGCGGTTGGTTTCTTTGAGTGGTCTGCTGCTGCATAGGGGGAAGGGTGGGCGGTTTGCTGTTTTTGGATGGTTGGGTGGGTTTTGCGACTTGAACTCTGGCTCTTTAGTAGCGGTGTCCGCGTTGGCGGCTCGTTTGTTGACGCGCCAAATGCCACAAGCATCGAAGTCGACTTCGCTCTCCGCGGCGCTGGCGATGCAATTAGACGATAATGCAACCCAAGCAACTTAAACAAAAAAACAAAAAAAGTAAAAATCAAAGAAAACTAAAACGAAATACGTTTTCGTGCACTTTGTATGTATTTGCAATGAGTTTGGCTCCGGGGTGTTCGTTGGCCGAGTTGCTTGTTGGGTTGCTCCATCAGCGATTGCAACATCATAAGATATGAATTCTGTGGCAATTTAAATTAATATCTGCACACGCTGCCATATATAATACCATATTACACATTCTGATTGACATATTCTGGTGCTGGAATCATTAAAACCATTAATCGTAAATTATAATTGAAATTGATTTTGTTTATTGAAGTTTTTTACATTTTTGGCATAGGGTTTGCTTCGTATAAAAAATCTTCGTTTTCTAATAAATGATTTTAAAAAAGTTTTCTGGATATTCAATTTCGAATTTAAAAGTCACTTAACGTATAAGTAAATAAACTCTTATTTTCCTAAACTAGTTTCCTCCAGCTATATTAGATTACATTATTTATTTTAATTCAACAACCTACTATAATTATAAAGAAATGTCTTGTCGATCTACGATTTTGCATTTCTTAGTTTTGTTTAATACAATTTTTTTAATCAAACCAGTAATTGTGTAAACAGCTGTCCCGATATAGTTATGAATGAATTTTCTATTATAATCATAGATTTTCAAGTGGCCTCAGATTCTAGGTATCTCAAGTATATAATATAGTTATTCTTCTAGTAACATATTTTCTAGACTTATTGGAAATGATCATTAAAGTGTTTTCTTAGCTCTCAATTCAACATACCGTGTTTCGAACTGTGTTTGTTGACTTTAGTTTGGCTTTTTATTGATCCATTGGATTGGCCGACAAATTTTCGTCGCTTTCCACAACGATCATTAATTATGCAGCATTAGATGGAGATCGCCAACGCAGCCGACGGGTTGTAGATATTTTCAGATTATTAATCTCAATTCCTATTGTGTGTGCGGCACACGCTAAACTGCATTTTCGATAATTTATCAATGCGGCTGTGAGGCCTTCAAAGAGAAATATTATTAAAAAAAAATAATAAAAAGTGTGGCATTAAAATTGTTTTGTCTGTTATATTAATTAGGGCTCGGTCTTTGCAGCTCTGTGGGCGTGACTGCGATGCGCCTCTAATGATCGGAAGTTTGACACGTGTCTGATGCTGGGCGTGGGCCGCAACGCTGACCACAGACTAGCAAACGGCGTGGGTTGGAAGCAACCCCGCCCTGGGCTGGCAATTATTGCGTGAATATGTTAATTGAAAAAATTTTGTTAATTGAGCCATGAAAAATCATTTCACCAGACAATCAGACAAACCGTGTCCCCTGGCTGCTACCTCAGAAAGTTGGCCATAAGATCTGCCCAAATATGCGGGCATTTACCAACATAACTCGTAGCGATCGACTATCGATCGGTCAGTCAGTCAGCTTTGCAATAGCTATGCTCGGCTTGGGCTGCGGCTGTCTTGAGTGATCAATTAATTTTTGTTTTTGGCCAAAGTCGGCTATTAATTTGCATGCGCTTTTTGTGTTGTCGATCGTTGCCGTGATCGAGCAACTGCTGCTGCTACAGGTTGCCTTAACCGCAATCGAACGTCCAGTCTTTGGCTGGACTGCCTGCCTGTTTGCCTGGCCGCTGTTCCATTTGATAACCATTTTAAAAGTCTACAAATTGCCTGTCCAATCCACCGATCGTTGGCTGCAGTACACTGGCCGCCTGTCCGCCTGCCAGTCAGTCAGTCAAGTGCCGGGCAAAATCGATTGCACAGCTCTGATTTGACCTCGTCTTGCCAGCATGTGGAGATTTTGGAAAGTCGCTCCATGAGTTGGGGACGTTTGTATCGAGTGCTATTCAGATATTGTTTTTATTTCGCAGCTGACATAATTGTTATGTTGTCTCGATAATTCGATTCGCTTCGCTATATTTTTAATTGGCAATAACACATGAAATCAGGCAAGGAGTGAAAATGTCAGAACATTGCCTTGGAAACTATTCAACTGCATTATACTCTGTTTCCTGTTATAAGACAGCTTAAAGCAGGTCAATAATTTGAATATCTCTCAGTCAAGTACATCCATAAGTATAATATTTGATTTTAAGAATATGTATATATGTATATGTATACTTTATAGGCATTGCTTGGAAAAAAGGCATTGCTTGGGCAGTAGGGGTGTCAAATAATCGGAAAGAAACGCGGGACCAGCTTGATTCTGTGATTTTTACGGGGAATCTGGAGAACTGTTAAAGCTGCGAGAAAGATAATACCCAAAATTTGTAAAGTGATTAGCTGCAGCAGCTGCATTAGCTCTAAAATATGATACTTATGATAGGCGTAGATTACGATGCGATCTCTGTTGCTCCTCAACGAGTACTTCTTCAGAGAGTGTGCACCAAATAAAGACGTGGCGGCTCCTTCGAAAATGATTTCAGTTTAAAGATACTGAAACGACTGTCAAGATTTAAGCAACACGCGCATCTAAAGCAATAAATAAACTCAAAAAAGCGAATGTCTGCGTTGTTAAGATTTTGTGTATTTGCTTTGGAAATGATTCAGTTTACCTGTTGCTGGCACCTGTCCGTAGCTAACACAAAGTCTGTATATAAACCACAACGAAATATGAATACGAAAGTGTATTCAAATGCGAAATGTTCACCGGAAGTGTTGATTCATAGGGTTGCTGCATCATTTCGTTGCAAGATTTGCGTTTCTAATTACTTTGACGGAACTTAATAGACAGCTAGCTGGTTCAATGGGGCGTATGAGTAATTGTTAGTCTTTGGCTTGAACACTTAACATATGCTACACTCCAATGCAAATTTTACGTTAATAACAAAATCTTGTTGTTGCCGCTGCTGCCGCCGCTGTTGTTGTTCTTTTTCATTCATAAAAAACAACACAGTTTCATAATCGAAAACCGCAACCAGCAAATAACCGGTTCGGGGCTTTTGTGTTTTGTTTCTTTTTTGAATGATCGAAAAAAAACATTTTTTTTAACGATTTTGTGCTCTTTACTACATGATCACTTGACTTGGCTTACAAACTATGCAAATGCGGCAACGTTGCGGCATGTGGGCGGCAGCTGCTGTTGCTTTGAGATGCAAAGTTAAAAAAAAAAAAAACAGGCGAAACTCTCGAGATTTTTATGAATGAAACTCGCTTGAGGTGACAACTAAGCGTATCGGTGTGCCGGGAGGGTGAAGTGCAGTGTGCAGGAAATTTTCGAGCGGATGTGCCTAATTAACAGCGCTGATTACATTTTATACATTAATAAATATTTATTAATTAGAATTATTTCGTGCTTTTAGACGTTTTGAATTTGAATGAGCGAAAGGCCAAGTTGCTGTTGTTGGATTTTATGGTCATGCTGATGAATGATCAACTCTATATTTAAGACCAGTAACTAAATAAATTACAACAAATCTGTAACAATCAATTTGCGGACTTAACTTGTTGTAAAGGGGTGCATCTGTCGGCTTTGTGAACTCATTTCGCATTAATGAAAAATTGAACTGACTTTCAACTTACCATACTAACGTTTTTAAGACTTTGCTATGCGCTGCACGATACAATATCTAGTATATTTAATAGATTATGTTATATTAGTTTTCTTTTACATTATAAGAAGTTGAATGAATTGCTTTCCTAATTATTCCGTTTTCGTATTGCCTAGAAAACTTAAAAAAGATTCCAAACATTTTTTAATCACGTCTAAGCGCGTTGTGTAAATATTAATTATATTAATTCTTAAACATACTTATATTTTATATTTTAATTCAACAATTTTGGTATTTCTTTTAAAATATGAGTTTTCAATTTATTATTATCAATATTTATGCCCTTCTTTGCGATATCAATATTATGTATTATACCCGGTCAACTCTTCTTTCAAATTCAGATAAAGCATACTCTTAAAAAAACCATAGAGGCCAAACCTAAAAGTTTCGATAGTAATTTGTTTCAGACTTTCACAATTCCCTGCCACATCCTGACCTGTCTTGTAGAGTATGTGTAATACCCGTGTAGCCTGATTGCACTTATGCTCAGTTTAGATTTAATTTTCCAGCTGTGCCTTCAACGCTTTTGTAGTCGTTTTTGCTTTGGCTTTTGCCGTTGCCTTTTCTGCTACTGTTAAACGCAGAATTTATGAACAATTTTCAAAAGAAGTCACGCGTTAAATGTACGACACAAACTCACGCGACATACGAAGCCAGGCAAGGAGAGAGTCTTGCGCTGGGGCAATTGCAGATGATTTCGTTAACGCGTTGGCTGCCCGGCTTGTTGGCTGCCTTCAACGAGCCATAGGTTGGCCAGGCGGTCGCATTGGCCTTTTGTAATGCGCCTTGTAATATATTTTATTAACAATAAAATGTTAAGTGCCACAAGGCGTGATGCAGGGTCTGCAGTGGGAGCAGGAGGGCAGCCAAACGGGATCGGTTCATGCTGTGCCACAAGGATGAGGCTACTGTATGCGACAAGGTGTCCCGTCTGCTTCCCCTCGAGCCTGTCCTCTGGTGGGGTTATTGTGTGAAAAAAGAAGATAAACTGCGTGCGCACATATAATCGCGCCATGAATCAAAATCACACCAGTTCGCTATATATAGATATCCGGCTAGCCAAGCACAGCTAACGAATGCCAAAAGGCAGCCAAATGCCATGTGCTCCAAGTGACCACCAGCTCCACTTTCCGCTCATCCTCTCTCTCTCTCTGTCTGTGTTGTCTGCCACCTGTGGCCGTTTACCTATGCAAATCCCTAGAACTAAACCAGTTTTGGTAGCTCCTAGCATGAGCATATGCCCAATTCGGTTGGCCGACTGCCACCCACAATTGGCCACAAATAGCGGCCACAATTAACCGTACGATGCAAATCGAACAATGCCCATAAAAAGTTCCTGAAAGAAAAACGAGAAAAACTCAAACTGCCCGCATTTCGAACTAATTCCATTTGGGAAATTCCTTCCCACATGAAAAATTGTGTTGCACCACTGACAATGTCAAATTGTGGTGCTGACCACTGTCAGCATCATCAGTGGGGCATTTATCTTGCGGGCCTGCACCCGCTACAGGGTCTGAACCTTATAGATAGTATGCCCAGTGGCAAACAGCAGCAGCCTCTGCATCAGCAGCAGCAGGTGAGTTGCTGGCAGGGACCACACAAATTTGCGACATTTCCAGTGCTGCATCATTTATCTATTTCGGATTTATCATTGATTAATCGCCAGCGGGCTGACTCTCTGGATGCGTGTGACGCCAGTTGGCTGCCAGTTAATACACTGAGAGAAATCATATAGATTACTTCGATAGCCGATTTATTCTTTAAAATTACTCCTCCCATAAGACCGAATAAAATAAAAATCAACTACATTTTAAAAAGTTGCCCAAATAGATAAATCAATGTATTGGCTATTACTTT